CAATAAAAAAAACTGGAAAGCTCTTGAATGAATTCTAGATTATTAAATTAATGACTATTAACTTTGCTAATGCCAGATGACAGAAAATCAAGTGCACTTGAGTTTTGAATATTGAACTTTGAGGGGAGAAAACTCATATTTGTAAATGATATTTTGTTAAAGTTACCTTCCATTTTTTTCTCAGTTGAGTGAGGGTCCCTTGCATGTCTGGCATAGAAGAAGAACCATTTTAGGCCAAGAGTGAACATCCATTCCCTTTTCCTCCTTCTTAGCTTACCCTTAAATTTTGTTCAACCATCCACCCAATCCACAGGTAAACCTTAATGAGTCCATGCCAATGAGTGTTTGATCTACCCTGGTCCACAAATGCACATAAATCTTAAATTTGCCTAATCAGCTAAGGAATAATTTAGAGTTTAGGGGAGGAGATTTTCCTTCTGCCACTGTCTGGGCACAGAAAAGTATACTACTTATTTGCTGCTTGCAGCATCTTATCACTATGAGGGAAGCAGCAGACAGGAAACAGGAAAAATATTGGTGTTTCAAGTCTCAGTTGAGTTTAACTGTAATCCACCTAACCAATTCTGTATTGGTTAGGTAAGATAACACACTTTCTCAGTAAAGTTTGAGGTAGGCTTTCTGTTACCCGCAGGAATTTTGTATCCTAACTGATACAAGATTACAAAAACTTCCAAGAAATTTTGCTTCCATTTTTAGATGCCCTGCTTTTGCTGAGAGATTCCACATGGCGGTTCTAGTGAGCAGTGTGGTACTGCTGGCTGCTGCAAGGATGGAAAATTGAGGAGGATAAAGAGGCCAGATGAGAAGCTTTGTTAGCAAGATATGATGATTTCGAATGTAGCATGAAGATAAGGAAGAGGGGACAAGTTAAAGAGATATTTAGGAGACATAACCGATAAGATTTAGGGAAAAGAAGAGACAAGGTGCTGAGCAAAGTGGGGGTTTCTAGTTTGTGTGTAATTGATGGCTGTTGGTCCATCCGCTAAGCTCCACAGAGTAAAAGGAGACAAAGATTAATTGAAAATAGATTAAGGACCTAAACATAAGAACTGAATCTGAATTCTTAGAAGAAAACAGAAGGGAACATCTTTGTGACACCAGATTTGGCAATACTTCTTTTGGACACAACACCAGACAACAAAATATAATAGATAAATTAGAGCTGGTTAAAATTACAAAGTTTAGTACATTAAACAATAGTTTCAAGAGTGAAAAGAATTCCCAAATGGGAGAAAATATTTGCAAATCATATATCTGGTAAGGGTTCAGTATCTGGGTTATAAAAAGAAATTCTCCAATTTGACAACCACACAAAAACAATGTAATTTGGTAAGTAACTTGAATAGATCTCCAAAGGTATAGAAATGGCAATAAGTACATAAAAAGATTCTCAGTACCATTAGTCATTGTGTTAAGGGGAAGGATGTCCTAAAGGAACTCTGCAGAGTCTTATGGACTCCACCCCCTACTCCAGCTTTCTGTACCCTACACCCTACTCCAGTGATTGGAAACTACAACTCCCAGCAGTACCAGGGAGAGAACTGCGAGGACCAAAGGGCGGAGCTAGCAGGAATGAATTCTGGGACATTCAGGGGGATAAATAGGAGGCTATTGCA